ATTCGTACGGTTCCGTTCCTACTGTAAAGCTCGATCAGCAGTATCGTGCTCAGACTGATGATGACCACAGACAACGCTTTCAGCCAGCTCTTCAACTGGCTGAAGTTCGCATGGCTGAATATCACCATCAGCAACAGTGCGCAGATGTGTCTGACGTATGATTCGGAGAACAGTTCCGTATCTGCAACGCCACTCCCGCGGTATAACTGACAGTAAGCAGCTCCCAGAGGCAAATCGATTAATATCATGCCGGCGATGTGCTTCGGCACCCACAGAAGCAGTACCGGGGGCAAAATATTCCGATTCACCAGGTACCAGACCATGTAAGCAACGAACGTCAACAGTAGCAAGAAGCTGATCACGAAGTAGATGGCCACGGCCACGTTCGAAATTCCGAAGACGACCAGCGACAGAGTGGTGACGATGCAGTAAATGACCGTCGCAACGAACACGTCCACAGCCACGCTGTACTTCGGCGCATCCACAAACCATTTGTCTTTATGAGCACTGCTGCCGGACGATGGCGGCTTGTGCGCGTGCGTAAAGTGATCTATGTAATCTTTTTCGACCGAAGGGTCAACAAATTTCAGCGTCCACGGGTTCACTGGCCGCCGATGGACGAGGTACCCACCCTCAGCTAGACTTGAACCTCTGATCGTCTCAGCCAAGCGATGGTCGAAATCTGTATGGTCTGCGTCAAACCTTGTCATACTAGCAGAATGTGTAGACAACACGTGGTTCATCTTGCTCTCGTCAGGGGCAACGACATCGCCTACATTCGCTTTCTCGTCACTGGACGTGGAATAGATTGGGCTGGAGGCTAACTTCAGAAACGCAGATTTCTGCTCATCGCCATTTTCGTTGCCTTGCACAAGGCTATTTTCGGTCTTGGAGATTACGGCAGATTGCGCATGACCATTTTCGAGCATCTACAACCAAAACATAAATTCAACAGTATTTCACACAGTACAGTGCTCATATTTCTCACAGCTTCAAAAGGTAAAAAACAGCCAACAGCAATAGATCAATTAACCGTTTATCAAAGATTCTTGATCTTCATAACGGCATCGCTTCGATCAGTAAGCTACAGACGTTCAGAGAATCGATGATCTTCACTGTTGATGCATAATGACCCAAACTACCGATATGGAACACCTTATTCACTTTAAACCAACAACTGCAGTTTTCAGCTGCTAGCAACCGCTGGTAACAACGAACAGTACCCAAGAAAAGATCTGTAAAATACAAGTCGATCCATCGGTCAGCGGCACTAGTCAGAAACCAGTTTACATATAAATGACGACTGTTCTGCCTCCACTTAGCGGGATGACGAAAAGAGGGACAACTTAAACCGTAATGCCGTATTCTTTCATAGTTTCCGAGATCTTCTGCCACAGATGCCTAATTTAGATAGCATAATTCTGACAGTATGTTATCAGCACTAAAAATTAATTTGGAGAGTGACAGATCGAAGGAAAATGCATGATGTGCACGACAGTTGTAAAAGCTACACTTTTACATCAAGCACTGATAGGCTGCATGTACAGGAAATAACAAGCGTTGTCAGAAATTTTAGGAAGAGAAGTTGACCGGCAACAGCGGAGTTACGAGGAGTTGGAGTTGGCGACAACTCCGCCGCTTCCGGTCCAAGCCCGGATCAGAAAGGAGGAGGGTTGGAGACAGTGGCAAGTCTACGTAAAATTCAGGCGCCTGCCACTCATGGTATTGACGTCATCGAAAATCATACCGGCTCGGTCGCTGACCGGGTTACCAAGGGCCGCGCAGGCTGTTGGGGGACTGAGGCAGACTGCGAAAAGTCGGCGATCAGAA